TTCCAGTAGACCTCCAATCTTTGAATGGATCTCAGAGTTGGGATGAGTGACAGCTTTTGAAAAACGTTCCTATAGATTACATGAAGGGATTGAAATGTAATTTAATAAATCTGGAAGATTTCTGAATTTCTGTGATCATTTTTTTTTTGTGTTTTGGTTTATTTATTTAATTTATATACAGTTTTATTTGGCATTGCTCTGCTTTTATGTTAATGATCTGTGTTTAAGATATTAATCTGCATTATTTGCAAATAATAAAATCAATAAAAAGTTCAATCATAAACAAAATAAATTAAAAAATAAGTATAGAACAGTTCATTTCACTTGCCTGTGCCTGAACACTCTTAGTTACTGCTAATGAGTTTAGTTTTAGTCTTTGCAGCGCAGTGTTTCATTTATACTGATGGATGCGCAGTGTGTTCTGATCAACCTTGAAATGGAAGTGTGTAGGCGCGTGGCTGAGAGTGTTCTGTATTTTCACACAGGCAAATAAAAAAAAAGAAAGTCTTAAAAACCTGCTGTCTAAATGTGACTGGGTTCATTTGGAACTCTTCGACCTTGTAAGAACAAGCAGAAAATGTTTCTTTAGTAGCAGGCGGAACAAATGTGCAAGCTGCAATCTTATTGGCAAGCAGATATGTCTTATGCTTGTTTTGATTTCAGCTAAAGTAGGAAAACATGATGAATATTTATTACTATTTATCAGATCCTAGCATGCTTTATATTATTAAGAGTAGATGGTTTGTCGTTCTATGCATATGAAGTATATACTCAATAATGCAATATTCAGTAATATAATGCAATACTCACTGCATATGAAACGCATATGAAAATCCTGTTTTGCATTCAAATGTAAAACATTCATAGACACTCACAGGCCACTTTATTATGTACACCTGTCCAACTTAATGGTTAACTTGTCGTTAACGCAAATTTCTAATCAGCCAATCACATGGCAGCAACTCAATGCATTTAGGCATGTAGACATGGTCAAGACGATCTGCTGCAGTTCAAACCGAGCATCAGAATGGGGAAGAAAGGTAATTTAAGGGCCTACTCACACTATGCTAGCCGAACTGTGCCCAGGCCCATTTCCTGGATCGTTTTAAAAGTGTGAGTGCGCTGAATTGGGTTCAGGCACGGTTCACTTGGGCTTTGGCGCGGTACGCTTGTGTGTGAGTGCAAAATGCACCTAAGCCGAAACTGAAAGCAAGATGTGACTTTTACAGGACTGTTTCATATAGATTTATAAATCATTCCTACTGTTGAATGAACGCAAACTGCCGTAGTTTATTAAAGACGCAAACTCCTCACTGCACCGCCGCTGCGCCTTCAGCAAACCTCCTAATTCCTGCAGCACGAGGACTTTGAAAGTTTATGAGCGTCAAAAGCGGCAGATCTGATCGGTGAAATATTTGACTGTGCCACCACATCTCAAACGACTAAAACAATATAACTAGAGAAATGTCCACTGTGCCGAGCGAGAGCGCTTCTCTACTGAACAGTGCATCATCGATGACGTAAGCGTGCTCAGGCCGTAATGTAATGTGAGTGTGGGCCATCTGGGGAGACGAGAGGGGGGACAAGCGTGCTTTGGCCCGGTTCAAGGCAACTGTACATAGTATGAGTGACTTTCAATGTGGCATTGTTGTTGGTGCCAGATGGGCTGGTCTGAGTAGTTTAGAAACTGCTGATCTACTGGGATTTTCACGTACAATTATCTCTAGGGTTTACAGAGAATGATCCGACAAGGAGGAAATATCCAGTGAGTGGCAGTTCTTCACCGGGTGCCTCTCCTGTCAAAAACTTGAAACTGGGGCTACAATTCGCACAGGTTCACTGAAATACCAAAATACAATTTTGTAAAAATGTTGCCTGGTCTGATCAGTCTCATTTTTTTGTTGCGACATTCGGATGGTCGGGTCAGAATTTGGTGTCAACAACATGAAAGCATGGATCCATCCTGCCTTGTATTAATGGTTCAGGTTAGTGTTGGTGGTTCAATTAGCAGCAATTGAGCATTGTGTCAATGCCACAGCCTACCTTAGTATTGTTGCTGACCATGTCCAGACTTTTTGTCCTTTTATCCTGCCCCTCTTATTGAATAATCAAATGTAATGTAAAATGTAAACACAATTTTAATCAATCAACCCATACTCATAAATTAAAACAAAGAATGATGCATAACCAATACAAAGCTCCTCTAGGACACTCGAGATTCCAAATCTCAAGTTTTCCTGGTAAAATAAAGGTCTAAATAATTAGAAAGCTACTAAATTTCTGTTTTGTTCAAGTGTTTTGCAGTCATAGCCTGGAGTTATGTTCTTACTATATCAGTCGAAAAATGCCAAATATTCTTCAGTGTGTTTGTTCAAGAGTTGTTGGGTTTTTGCATAGTCATAGCCTGAAGTTACATTTTTACCATATCGCTTGAGAAATGAACACAAATTCTTGAATTTAGGTTACTGTCACTGTGGCCTGATTTGTTCGCTGATCCAAAAATATCCTGTTTTAGCTGAAGCGTGGAGTCAGACGACCATCATGTTGAGTTCAGCTGGGGAGAGCCGAGGCTTATGGGGGTTTAAAATTAAGCTGTGATGTGGTTGGAGGTGACCTCTTTCTGACCTCATTGGATTATATGGGTTTATGTCCTGTAAAAGTGCAAGTCTGACAGAGACGGGAGTCGTTTTTAAGTGCGTTGCTGAGGCAGCAGTGCACTGTCATCATGTGTGCACGTGTCTTTCAATCTGCAGCTGCTTTGTTTGTGGTTCTTGCTTTCAATATGTGTGCTTGTTTTTAGATTTGCTGTGGTTTTTTCCACTCAAAACAGTATTGTTATTGGTAATTTACAACGAAATGTTATTCTCTGTAAGTCATCAACTTCTAGTGTTTTGTATGTTGATACACATCAAACTGAAATATGAAAATTTATTAATGAAAATAAGTGAAAAAAGCCCTCTTAAAATCAAAATGAACCAAGTACTACTTTTATTGTGATTTTTGTAGTTTTGAATTACGTTTTTATAGAAGCGGGAGTGGATATGATGGGAATTATGTTAACCAATAACAACAGTGGACATTTATATTGTTTCTATCAGATGCAACGTTCATCCTAAGAGTGCAATTTTTAGAAAAAGTAAAAATTAAATTAAGATGGAAAATTATGATATTTAAGTGTATTATTCCTGAATATAGCTGGTATATAGCTGGTGTTTCTGTGTGGAGTTTGCATGTTCTCCCTGCCTTCGCGTGGGTTTCCTCCGGGTGCTTCGGTTTCCCCCACAGTCCAAAGACATGTGGTACAGGTGAATTGGGTAGGCTATATTGTCCGTAGTGTATGAGTGTGTGTGTGGATGTTTCCCAGAGATGGGTTGCGGCTGGAAGGGCATCCGCTGCGTAAAAACTTGCTTAATAAGTTGGCGGTTCATTCCGCTGTGGCGATCCCGGATTAATAAAGGGACTAAGCCGACAAGAAAATGAATGAATATATACATACACACACACACACACACACACACACACACACACACACACACACACACACACACACACACACACACACACATATATATATATATATATATATATATATATATATATATATATATATATATATATATATATATATATACACACACTGCATTGAAGATGAATCCAAAGACTCTTGATAAACTATGGAAGTCCAGTAGGAGCGCTTTCTTTGCCATTCCAGATGACTTTATTAATAAAGTTATTTAAGTCATTGCAGAGATGTATGGATGCAGTCCTCCAAGCTCATGGGAGTCATACATGCACTATGACTTTATATTCTATGTTGTACATTATTTCTGTTAAGTGACAAGACTTTTGTCTAAGCAAAGTCAGACCTTACTGTCCTAATTAAATAATCAAAATCAAGGCATGATCATATTTTATTTTGGTAAAATAAGCGTAATCTAGAGGCCTTTGCCTTTCATATGAGCCACTTCTGATACCAAATGATCAACTAGAAGTCAAGTTATTTTTTTCTCACACACACACACACACACACACACACACACACACACACACACACACACACACATAATATATATATATTAGGGTTGTCTCGATGCCATAAATTCATGTTACTATACTATGTTATGATACTATACTAAGTATTGTGATACCAAGTAGTATTGTGATACTGTAATTCATAACCTAATCTATCAAATAAAGAAAATTGTCAGAAATGATATATTTTATATGGTATAATAGGCCTACTTGAATTCAATTCATAATTCCTTATTATTATATGTTAACTAAAATGTATTAGTTCCTTTTGTTTGTTTTGTAGATAACTGACCAACAAAAAAATCATTAAAACAAAGATAGTAATCATACCTAACTAAATTTGTTACAAAACGAGCATTTTTCCAACAAAAATTGGCTGTATAAAGTGGTCAAAAATTGTTTCAATGTTTCCTGTTGCTCTGTTTTTTCCGTTTTTCATCTATTGTTTGTTTTTGTTGTTGTTGTTGTTTTAATTGTTGTTGGTTTAAGTATTTGCTGGTAATAATCCAAAGTAACTCAGTTTCACATTGTGAGTCGTTCTTTTTAAGAGATTGTTGTGGTTTTTGTAGCTACTAAGTCATATTGGCAGAACAGAAATTAACTGATTCAGATGTGCGTTCGGACTAAAGCATTAGAAAACGTGCAATAGGCTACCATAAAAGTTGAAGGTTCTACACAGTTCCGCAAACTTAAAGGGCTCCACAGCCACAGACTATTCAGATAAAAAGTTATATTGTTGCACAAATGTGTGAGCATTTTAGTGACTTTCCACATGCAACATTATGTATTGTAGATACTGACGATACTACCGTTTACAAAGTACAGTGGCACTGCCAGCATTTTGGAGTCATAGTACCACGATACAACTACTATAGTACCGGTAAACCGTGCAACCCTAATAAATATACTTTATATACTTTTCAACCCTATTAAACATCTGAAATAATGTCTTTGTTTTGTGCTTGCAGTGGAGGAGTGACTTTGTCAATGGCTGGGTGAAGTTGTCGGGAAGCCACGAGAATCAGGAGGAGTGCCTTGGCATGGCTGTGTTGGACATGATGAGGACTGCCAAAGAGAAAGATTGCTCGCCGCTGGACATCTATAATGACATTAGGTACTACTACTTGAAATTGCTTTTGATGTGGAGGGTCTTTTTCTGCCTGAGATACTGGTGCCCTAAAAAACTAAATAAAATAGTCGTAAAACGCACATAAACAAATACAATAGGAACTATATAACAGAATTTTAGCAGTTATAAAATCTTGACTTTTCTAAACTGGTTACGAAACTGGTCGTCATCACATGCCTTATAGTGACTGTCATCATCTGCTTTATTCACAGTTATAAATCATTCCTCCCGAAAGACATGAGGGAGCGAATCCAGGACTATCATTTTGTCACAAGAAAGCGCATCCGCTATCGCTTCCGAAAAGTGGTGCAGCAGCTGAGCCAGTGCCGGGCCACTGCGCGAGACCTAAAGCTCAAATACCTGATCAGCCTGGAGTCTCTGGACAATGGTTTCTTCACCGAACGCTTCCAGGTCAAAGAGCCTTCGACCGAGCAGGTCACTATCGTCGTCTCTGCAGATCGAGGCATTCAGTGGTGCCACGAGCGACATAAAGACACACAGTCTGAGGTAACGCCAGCCTTTCCTTTTAAATACTTCTCCAAAATCACATTTGCGTTCCACAGATACACTAAATAAATATGATTAATGCTAATCAGTGCAAATATATATACAGTTGTTGGCAAATTTATTAGCACTCTTGTATAAACTTGTATTTTTTTATCCCTGATGTACTGTTGGGGATGTTTTCATCCACTCTGGGATGATTTCGAGGCTTAATTTGGCCATAACTTTTTCTGTGTTTCAGCTAGCAGAATGATTTTTGCTGAAAAATCTTACCAGCCACTTTATTGGGTACACCTGGCCAACTGCTTGTTAACGCAAATTTCTAATCAGCCAATCACATGGCAGCAACTCAATGCATTTAAGCATGTAGGCATGTTTAAGACAATCTGCTGCAGTTCAAACCGAGCATCAGAATGGGGGAGAAAGCTGATTTAAGTGGCTTTAAACATGGCATGGTTGTTGGTGCCAGACGGGCTGGTCTGAGTATTACAGAAACTGCTGATCTACTAGGATTCTCACGCACAACCATCTCTAGGGTTTACAGAGAATAATCAGAAAAAGAGAAAATTTCCAGTCAGCGGCAGTTCTGTGGGCATAAATGCCTTGTTGATGCCAGAGGTTAGAGGAGAATGGCCAGACTGGTTTCAGCTGATAGAAAGGCAACAGTAACTGAAATAACCATTCATTACAACAGAGGTCTGCAGAAGATCATCTCTGAACACACAACACTTCCAACCTTGAAATAGATGGGCTACAGCAGCAGAAGACCTCACCTTGTGCCACTCCTGTCAGCTAATAACAGGAAACTGAGGCCACAATTCACACAGGCGCACCAAAAATTGAACAATAGAAGATTGAAAAAATGTTGCCTGGTCTGATGAGTCTCGATTTCTGCTGCAACATTCGGATGGTCGGGTCAGAATTTGTTATCAACAACATGAAAGCATGAATCCATCATGCCTTGTATCAACAATTCAGGCTGCTGGTGGTGGTGTAATGGTTTGGGGGATATTTTCCTTGCACACGTTGGGCCCGTTACCAATTGAGCATCGTGTCAACACCACAGCCTACCTGAGTATTGTTGCTGACCATGTCCTTCCCTTTATGATCACAGTGTACCCATCTTCTGATGGCTACTTCCAGCAGGATAACGCACAATGTCATAAAGCGTGAATCATCTCAGATTGATTTCTTGACCATGACAATGAGTTCACTGTACTCAAATGGCCTCCACAGTCACCAGATTTCAATCCAATAGAGCATCTTTGGGATGTGGTAGAACAGGAGATTCGCATCATAGATGTGCAGCTGACAAATCTGCAGCAACTGCGTCATGCTATCATGTCCATTTGGACCAAAATCTCTTAGGAATATTTCCAGTAGCTTGTTGAATCTACGCCACAAAGGATTAAGGCAGTTCTGAAGGCAAAAGGGGGTCCAACTCTGTACTGGTAAGGTGTGCCTTATGAAGTGGCTGTATAACATTTATAATATTAAGACAAAAGGACATTAAAACTACTTATTTAATTATTATCTTATTGTAATTTAATTTTTTGTGGTAAAAATTTCTTATGAGCAAAGTTAATCTGCGACCATGCACGTTTCAATTCTTGTTCAGAAAATCGTGTCATAACTATATCAAAGCAGTTGTGATTGAGCCATTAGGCTGTACTATATCCTGAAACCCAAACCTGCCTGTAACTTCAAAACAATTCCTTTGCTGCCTCCTATGCATTGGCAAATCCTGAAGGAAATGCCAGCCATGTCATGTTTATTAATATTACTGTACTGATGCCAAAATTAAATGGGGGAGGGGGGGGGGGTCTTTTTCTGCTTGTGAAGTCTCTCAACACTATTTTACTTACTTACTAGGACCTGCTGCAGACGTATTGTGATTTCGCGGAAGTTGTCGATATCAGTATCAGGCAAGCCAGCAAAGACGGTACCAACATGAACCGCATTGTCTCCATCAACAGACAGGATGGAACACCTCTAGTAAGTCTGCTGTAAAAGCGAAACCCTGCTGCATTGTTCACTGGGATATCCTTTCATTGTTGCGCCATGTTAAAGGTGCTCGCGGCGCCTTTGAACTTCACAATTTCTTCCTGCTATTATCTGAGAATATTTATAAATCATGTACTGAAATTGGGTTTTTTCCCCCTCATTTTTTGTTCTAAGTAGGAGTTGGTGTTTTATACAGTTAAAGTCAAAATTATTCGCCCTCCTGTGATTTTTTTTTTTTTCTTTTGCAAATATTTCTAAAATGATTTTTAACAAAGCAAGGAATTTTTCACAGTATTTGCTATAATATTTTTGCTTCTGGAGAAAGTCGGATTTGTTTTATTTCGGCTAGAATAATCATTTTTTTAAAAACCATTTTAAGGTCAATATTATTAGCCCCCTTAAGCAATATTTGTTGGCCACCACCAGCTTTGGGAGCCTAAAGCCCCATTCACACAGGGCTTCAGCATCAATGTTTGACTGAAGGCGTGTCTAAAGTTGGGGCGAAACAATTGTCATAGCAGCGTCAGCCAATGAAATTCAGTCAGCAATAGGCCACTGTCTAGCTGGTGTATTTGTATACAGCGATCTGATTGGCTGACGCTTTCGTGGCGCTTAAAGTTGAGCTAGTCCCCACTTCTGCAGCGAGCAATGCCTCTGAAGGGGCGCCAACGAATCTATAATGCAGTTCGGCAACACCTGAAGTCACCCATTCAAAGTGAATGGGAAGCGTTGACGCTGACGCCCCGTGTGAATGGGGCGCAAGACTTTTGCACAGATCTCAAATGTGTGGTGCAAGTGCATGGTCATTACTTTTTTGGGTGAACTGTACCTTTAACATGCAAACAGAAAACATGTGAAGTTTGACCACAATATTCAGAACATCAAACTTGAATCAAACGTCTTTGTTTAACGTGACCTCTTTAGCACCAAAGAAAAGTTTTTTTTTTCTTAGTCTTTTCTGAAATTGTGCTATTTAATATCAAGCATCTCTCAATCTTTCTAAGAGTTCTTTCATAGATTTAGCAAGTTCTATCTTTTTCTTTCCAGGCGAATCTCATACTGCCCATACGTGCTGTATACTGTATACTATTCAGGTCTGGAATTTTGGAGGCCATTTCATGACTTTGTTTCATCAGCTGGTTTTTACTCTCCAAATGTGATTTCATTGCATTAGCAGTGTGTTTGAGATTATTATCATGCTGAAAAATAAAACTTACAAATTAGGTACTTTCTAGTAGGAAGTAGAAGACGATAAAAAAAATTATGTACTATTTATCATTCATAATCCCATCAATTCAGGCAATATTGATAATAGCTCTGGCAGAAATGCAGATCAAAGACGAAAACTCCAGTATTTTTCATTCATTCTTCTTCCATCTCTCTTTCAGAGAAATAATACATTATTTCCTCCTATTATCTGAAACAGAAACACCAGTATTTTTCATTAATTCTTCCATCTTTCTCACTTTTTCATATCATTTGTAAATGATTGTGGTATATTATATAATTTATTTACTTGTTGTTTAGGGTTATTTTTGTAAAACTGCACAGCCAATGCAACGAAATTTCGTACACTAGTACATGTGAATGACAATAAAGTCAAATCATTTGTCTTAAACAATTAGTCTAAAAAATCCAACTAAAACCTGTATTTTCTGGTTGTATTTTAATAAAGAAAATACGAAGTTAATATTAGGGCCAGACGGAATCTGCGGACGTTTTTTGCTATTTCTGCGCAGAATTTTGGTAAAAGTCTGCAGAATTATTTTGGGAGTATCATAACTAAAACCGTAATATATGAAATAAAAGAATAATATGTTTTTAACTTTTATTTAATGTTTAAAATGCAAATGCAATTAGACCAGCTTTATTTGGTAAATAATGTTTGTCATATGTTTGTCATATAATATATCTAGTAAAAGACAGAAAATAATACTGTCAATACTATTACTGTAATTAATAAAAACACTGAATAAATATAGATTTACACACATTTACTCAAGTAAATAAACAGAATTAATGATGGGCTAAAAATCTGCGGAAAATCCGAGGAGTTCTGTGCGTGCAGATTCGGGGTGGGCTGTTGTTATTATATATAATGTTCTAAAGTTTCTCATGAGCCAATTTAATCTGAAACCCTGCATGTGTCTTGTTCGGACAATAGAGAAATTACACATTATTTCTTCCTGCTATTATCTAAAAATATTTACAGATCATGTACTAAAATAAGATTCTTCCCCTCGTTTTGTTTCTAAACAGGAGTTGGTGTTTTCCACCTCAATGCAGGCCTTGTCTTTTGTATCTCTAATTGATGGTTACTACAGACTGACCACAGATGCCCATCACTACCTCTGTAAGGATGTCGCCCCGCCGTATCTGCTGGAAGCCATCGAGAGCTACTGCCACGGCCCGATATCGTGAGCTCCAAACAAAATACTTGCAATAAACCTCTGGCTCTCATATTGCTCCTGTTTCCATCCATCTGTTTTTATACTGTAAATTAGCCAGATTTTAATAAACTAATAAACCTAAAAGTGCATCTAAGGGTGCTTTCACACCTGCCATATTTAGTTCGATTGAATCGCACTAGAGTTTGTTTCCCCTTTTGGTGCGGTTCGTTTGGGCAGGTGAGAATGCAGCAATCGTACTCGAGTGCGCACCAAAAGCGAACCAAATAAGCGTACCGAGACCTGCTCGAAGAGGTGGTCTCGGTACACTTTCAAACGAACCCTGGAGCGGTTCGTTCATGGTGAGAATATGATTCGTACTAAAACAGATCCAACTGCAAAAAGTACTGCGCGTTTTGGACTAATTCAGCTGCCGTAGGCCGATGCGCTGTGCATTATGGGATATGGAGGAAAAATATTTGTTGACAGCGCTTTATAAACAGAGAGAGAGAGAGGGGAAAACATTACCTGATGGATCGTTGGTAATATTTCCGCAAGATGACCATGTCGCAGTTTAGCTAAATTAATTCACGTCTCCTCTTGAAGTGACGAGCGATGCTTTAAACACTGTTTTCCAGCCGCGGCCGCGCTTCATTTTCCTAATGTATAGTTTGTCTAAAGCAGGGATACAATCAGCCAGCGCAGTCGTCCCTCCAGACTAAAAGGTTTTGTTTACCTGCGGGAGTTCACTGGCATTTTTCCGCACGTGAATTCTGACCAATCAATAAGCAGTTTAGGAAATATGTTCAACAACATCTGGCCAATGAGAGATGTGGATTTTGTCAGATGACTGCATTTTGGTTTGTTTCAACTGGTTCGGACCAAAGCCAGCAGTGTGGTGTGAAAACGACCCAAAGACGGCAGAAGATGCAACAATGTATCATTTATTACCCTTGGTCCGGACCAAATGAAGCGAACTACAGATGTGAAAGCACCCTAACACTAGGAAAGTGCACTAATCAAATTTGGACTTTGGAATTGAGACTTAATTGACTCTGATAACATGCACAAAAAACTTGATCTGGACATCCCTACTTTTAAGTATTTTTTGTAATAAACTCATTTTGGACCTGATTTATGTTTACTTTTTCAGATTGCAATGAAACGATTAATCAAGTTGCGGTCGTCATCATTCTTTTTATCGTCTGTGTTGACAGAATGGATTTTGCGATCAGTAAACTACGCAAGTCAGGGAACCAGAAAGGCCTCTTTGTGCTCCGATGCAGCCCTAAAGACTACAACAAATACTTTCTGACTCTTGCATTCGGGGTACGTTTTCTGATTATTATTTTTGTATTGAAACTTTCTTCATTGTGATGTTGACCTTTATACACTGCCGTTCAGAAGAAGAACCAACAAAAATAGGGTGAAAACAGGAAGATGTATGTACAGAAACATATATTTGTGCTGTAAATAATGGGTTTTAGTATTCTAGTACACACATTTTGTATTTATTTTTTTCTACCTTGCAAAAATGTTCATATATACAAATACATACATAAATTAGCGTTTTCTTGCTTTAAGAAATAATGTAAAAATTAGGTGAGTTTTTCCTTAAAACAAGCAAAATAATCCTCCAATGTGGTAAGCAAAAATAATAATATTTCAAAACGAAAAACAACATTATTTTGCTTGTTTTAAGGGAAAAATTATTATTTTGTCATATTGTTTCCTAAAACAAGACAATATTTCTTACCTGTCTAGAAAATGTTTCTTCATTCAAGACCATTTTTAGATATTTGGACTAGAAAGTAGGCAAACGGAATCTAAAAGTCAAATTTTGTGCAGTGTAGATTCTCATTTTTAGTAATTTTGTATGTCAAAAGCTCCGTTTACCATACATCTGTAAGTAAATGTGGAACATTTTGCAATAAATATCAAAATAGAATAAATAAATGTGCAATTTACGTACATTCAGTCCAATTTAATCCACAATATAGAGCATTTTAAGGGGGTGTAAACAAGAACAATGGACCCAATATATTTCCGGTTTTACATTTTTATAGCTTCTGAGAATCTACAAAGAGCCACATATTGATTAGTAATGTTATGATGACTGTTTTAACATTAAATTATGAATTGCCTCTTGTTACAGGGATGAAATAGTTTGATAACAAGCAGGAAATGTTCATGGGCCAATGGCATCACCACATTGAAATAGTCTATATAAGGGTGTACTCACACTAGGCTATTCGAACCGTGCCCGGGCGCATTTGACCCCCATTTCTCAGTTAGTTTGACAAGTGTTAGTGCTCCGGGCGTGGTTCAATTGTGTGGCCCTGGCCACACAAGGGCGGTCCAGAGTGCGATTTTGTTGGTCTTTGGTGTTGTACGAATGTATTGTAAGTATAAAGCGTGCCTGAGCACAAAACTAAAGACTGGACGTCACTTTTAAGGGACTGTTTCCTATGGATTTATTAATCATTCTTACTTTTTAATGAATGCAAACTGTCATAGTTTATCAAAGATGCAAACCCCTTGCTGCACCTTCAGCAAACCTCCTAATACATGCAGCATGAAGACTTTCATTCAAATTTTCAAGCCTCAAAAGCAGTGGATCTGTTCAGCAAAACATTTGACTGTGTGTCACTGCACACCAAAGTAGAGGACCTAACCAGATTTCTGCGGCGCGGGAATAAATTTCTGAATAAAGCGCGGGTGCAATCGGTAACGGGTTTAATTTGGGATGGGAGCGGGCTGTCTAGCAATATCGCGCCCGACTCCCGAGCGGCCCGCATATGTATGTGTGTAAATTAAATAGCGCAATGCTGTGTTTAGCTTGTTTGTTCCTGTGTGTATGTGCGCACGCGCGAATGAGAGGTGTGTGTGTGTGTGTGTGTGTGTGTGTGTGTGTGTGTGTGTGTGTGTGTGTGTGTGTGTGTGTGTGTGTGTGTGTGTGTGTGTGTGTGTGTGTGTGTGTGTGTGTGTGTGTGTGTATGCGCGTATGCGCGCGCGAATGAGAGAGAGCTTTGCCTGTGTGTGTGTGCTTGTGTGTGTGCTTGTGTGTGTGCGTGTGTGCGTGTGTGCGTGTGTGTGTGTGTGTGTGTGTGTGTGTGTGTGTGCACGCGCGAATGAAAGAGAGAGAGAGCTTTGCCTGTGTGTGTGCGCTTGGTGCTTATGTGTGTGTGTGTGTATTAGTGCGCGCAAATAAAAGAGAGAGAGCTTTACCTGTGTGTGCTTGTGTGTGTGTGTGTGTGTGTGTGTGTGTGTGTGTGTGTGTGTGTGTGTTAGTGCGTGCGAATGAGAGAGAGAGAGCTGTGTGTGTGTGTGTGTGTGTGTGTGTGTGTGTGTGTGTGTGTGTGTGTGTGTGTTAGTGCGCGCGAATGAGAGAGAGAGAGAGCTTTGTCTGTGTGTGTGTGCGCGCGCTTGGTGTTTGTGTGTGTGCGCGCTTGGTGTGTGCGCGAATGAGAGAGAGAGAGCTTTGTCTGAGTGTGTGTGCTTGGTGTGTGTGTGTTAGTGTGCGCGAATGAGAGAGAGAGCTTTGTCTGTGTGTGCGTGCTTGGTGCTATGTGTGTGTGTTATAAGCTGTCTGGACTGTATAGCTGGGAGGTTTTCGGTTTTGTTTTCCCCCCGCTCTTTCCAGCGGGATCGGGCACGGCGGGTAGAAAACGGGGCGGGTCGGGCAGCGGGACAATTAATGCTTATTATAAGCAGGAGCGGTCGGGTTTTGGCTAAAACCTGGCGGGTGCGGGCAGGAGCGGGATTCAAAATGTAGTCCCGCACAGATCTCTATACCAAAGGACTAAAAATATTTCAAAACAAAATAACTAAAGCAGTCTCCACTGTACTGGGCAAGAGCGTTTCTCTTCTGTTAAGCTGAACAGTCGCATCATTGATGACATAAGTGTGTTCAGGCTCTAAAGGTAAAAATGCAGTGTTGGTGAGGGCCGAGGGCAAGATGGGAGGGTGGACAATTGTGCCTAGGCTCGTGCCTAGTGCGAGTACACCCTAAAAATCATAGCTCAAGCTTTTGAACGGTGGTGTATTCTTAGCAAATCATCTCATAAATCATGTCTTGATATGTTGTTTTTTTAATCCACTAGGGGTATGGAAATGTAGAGTACAAGCACTGTCTCATTACCAGATCTGAAAGCGGCAACTACAATCTTAGTGGAACCAAAAAAAGTTTTAGAAGCTTACAGGATCTGCTGAAGTGTTACCAGAAGGAAACAGTGAAATCTGACGGTATCGTCTTTCAGTTCAGCAAGTGCTGTTCACCAAGGCCCAAAGGTCAGTACAGCACCTGATATTCTCATCATGATTGTATGATTGATATGCAGTTGAAGTCAGAATTATTAGCCCCCCTGTATATTTTTGAATTTTTCATTTTAACGTAACTCTTTTGTGCTTTTGTTTTTGATGTAAACAGAGAAGTCGAGTTTGCTGGTGTGCAGAAGTCATCGGGGTTTGGAGGTTCCTCTGTCCTCCTCACTGCAGAGACACAACATCAGCCAGATGGTCTTTCACAAAATCAAGAAAGAAGACCTCGAGCTTGTAAGCAAATTAATAGATTTATGCAGCTAGAATGCATTCTGTTAAGCATGCTGTGAACTCAAAAGCAAACACCAGGAATCTCTCAGGCATTTCTTTCTTTATTGAAAACTCGCCATTGCTGAAGTCTTAAAAAATTCTCAAATGTTTTAGAGAAGTCTCCAAGAAGTCTAAGAGAAGCCTCAAAAGTCTCAGAGACGTCTCAAAAGTCTAAGGCCCCGTTTACACTGCCAGTTAAATGTGACCCAATTCCGATTTTTTTGCTGATATGTGACACAGATCGGATCTGTTCTATGACCGTTTAAACATGAAAATAATGCATGCATTCGGATATTTAGAGAACGATTTCAGGCCTCCTTCATATGTAGAAATAAATCAAATATAGATTAGATATGTGACAATGTGACATGCAATGTGTCATGCAAACAGGCAGATCAGATTTATTGAGGCATTCCGTTCTTTACATCATTAAATTGCGGCAATGTGGTGCTTCTCCGCGGTTTAATGACGGAAAGAAGAGCGTGTGTGGAGATGCCGATGCGGTAAACAACATCAGAGGAAACACAGAGGAGGAAACTGGTCTGTCGGCACAATTTGCTCCCACCAGACCTGAGATCTCTCTCGTACCCACAAATTCCTCTGAATGGTGGAGGACATCATAAAGCATATAAACCATAAGCGCAAGCTGCGATGACGGCCCTTTTCCACCTCCGCCTCAAAATCATTTTAAAGTTGGGCGAACTTCATGTTGTAACGTTTGCTTTTTGTTTTGCCAATAATACACGCACTGCGGGCTACACATAGAATAACTTTATTCTCTCCAACACCAGTCCGCACACAGGCAAAGGCTACACACACACATCAGGGCCATACCATTACACTGCGTGGAGGTAAATCTGGCCTAAACCATTCACTGCTTATACTACACTTTCCATATTTCGCAGAGCTAAAAACAAGACAATTTCTTCCATCGTAGCTAGTGTGGCTCAGATGCTAGAAGTCTCAAAACTCTCAGAGAAGTCTCAAAAAAGTCTCATAGAAGCCTCAAAAGTCTCCAGAAAAGTCTCATAAAAGCCTCAAAACTCTCAGAGAAGTCTCAAGTCTCAGAAAAGTCTCATAAAAGCCTCAAAAGTCTCATAGAAGCCTCAAAAGTCTAAGAGAAGTTTTAAAGGTCTAAGAGATGTATCAAAAGTCTAAGAGAAGTTTCGAAACTCTCAGAGAAGTCTCAAAACTCTCAGAGAAGTCTCAAAAGTCTCATAGAAGTCTAAAAAAAGTAAGAAAATTCTAAAAGAAGTATCTAAAGTCTCAGAAAAGTCTCAAAAGTCTCAGAAAAGTCTCAAAAGTCTTAGAGAAGTCTTATAGAAGTCTCAAAAGTCTTAGAAAAGTCTTATAGAAGTCTCAAAAGTCTTAGAAAAAATCTAAAAGAAGTCTCAGAGAAGTCTCAAAAGTCTCAGAGAAGTCTCAAAAGTCTCAGAAGTCTAAAGGCCAGCTCATATATATATATATATATATATAAAATCCCGAACGATTGTAGCATGTCTGACTGCATGAACATGACTCCCATGTCACACTGTAAGATCTAAGCTGTCGTTTAGTCAGACTGATCGATAACGAAGACGCGCCAAACACGAAAGAAAACGCCCCTGGAGTCTGAAATGATTCCTCACAGCAAACATAAACAAGCCGTGGTGGCAATTGTGCACACAGCGAGTCTCAATAATAACTACATTAACTACATATTTATAAGCTGTATTACCAAATAGATAATATTTTTAGGCTAATGGTGTCATAAAATATGATGACAGACATTCAAAGATTAATTGTAATATCTCAATAGAAGCTTTGAATTTAAATATGATGTGACAATTACTTTTTTTATTTGTACTATTGAATTAGAATTATTAGCCCTCCTGAATTATTATGATCATGATTTTGACTTCAGCTGTATATCTTACCAGCCGTACAGTTTTGAATGGTGTTGTAAATGTATTTCCAGGGTGAAAGTCAAGGTCAGGGAACTTTTACAAAGATCTTCAAAGGGATTCGGAAAGAGCAGGGAGACTATGGAGAAACCCATAAAACTGAAGTCATTGTCAAAGTCTTGGACAAAGCACACAGAAATTATTCTGAGGTAAGAAATTTATGAAATGTATTTTTTGGGGGGTGAAAATGTAACGTGGACTATCTAAATAATTTATTCTGTGAATTGCTAATTACGACAGAAAAGTAGCTCCTCCTATTAACAGTTTTAGAGTAATTTTTATTACTAATCTAGCCTTGCTGTTTCACCATGTTCCAGAAAGGATCTCATCTACACTACATAACTAGAAATGCATCATTTAAAATAAAATTAAATAAAATGGTAAAAAATGAATGAATAAAATTATTTAAAAAAGAATGAATGAATAAAATGGTAAAAAAATAATAATTAAATTGTTTAAAATAATATATAAAAATGTGTAACAAAAAAAATGTGAAAAAAATATGATAAAATAATTTAATAAAATAAAGTAAAATCAAATAAAATAAAAAAGAACTAATTAAATGGTGAAAAATAACAAATAAATCAATAAAATAGGAAAAAATTTAATGTAGAAAAATTAAATTATATAAAATAAAGTGGTTATAAAAATGAATCGAATAGTAACTATTAAATGTAAAAAAAAAAAAAAAAATATATATATATATATATATATATATATATATATATATATATATATATAATAAAATGTACAAAATAAAATAAATAAATAATACGTGAAATCAAATAATTATGGTAAAAGAATTTAAATTAGTCAATAAAATTTGGAGAAAATAAATGTAGAAAATAAAATGCAAGTAAAAATAAATAATAATAGTTAAAAAAATTATAATAAAATTAGGTAAATTCAAATCAAAAAGTAAAAAATTTAAAGGCGAAAAATAATAAATAAATCAATAAAATGGGGGGAAATAAAACGTTGAAAAATAAAATATAAATAAAAATAAATTAAATAAAAAACAATATTATAATTTATCAATTAAAAAAATATCAAATCAAATGGTAAAAAAAAAATTGCGTAAAAAATTGCTGAAAGTAAAATGTACAAAAAAAAAGTCAATAAAAATAAGCACAATTATAAAATTAAAACTTATAATATGAAACGTATTGTAGAATTCATTTTAAAATGCAAAGAAAGTCTGATGTACTGTGTATAAATGTGTTTTTACTTTATTTCTTTTTTGTCCCTCTCTAAGTCTTTCTTCGAGGCGGCCAGCATGATGAGTCAGCTCACTCACAAGCATCTGGTGTTGACCTACGGCATCTGTGTGTGCGGAGACGAGAGTAAGTGGTCACACATAAACATAATCATTTCCAGACACATACATTTTACTTTAAAAAATACCTTAAAAATACTTAGTCTCACGCCAAAAGGTCCAATGAAGTGATTTTTATTTGCTTTTAGACGTAATCTCAACCGATACATGAAGAGAACGTGGGACATAGTGTAGCTCCTCCCCTTTTTATGAAACGACCAATAGCAATAATCACAGCTCTGCCAGTGATAGTGTATGAGCTAAACCGCATCAAATGTGAAGTGTCTTGAAGGGGGCGGGGCATTTCAGATACTAGAGAGCATTTGATTGGTCAAGATTTAATGAGAAATTGAAGTGTTAGATGACATCAGTAAAACCACTGATCCATTTAGGTGGAAGTGACAAAACTACACACTTTATAGTTTTATATCAGATTTATTTCTTCTATACACAAATTTCGACACTGTTTTAGTGCACACTAGCTTATAGATATCCTAAAAACTAACAATACTGATACTGACATCTAAAAAAAACTTTATTTTCATTTTATTGGACCTTTAAAACACACAAAATCGATATACTTTCACTGTTATATAGTTAAACTGACTGACTGTTGCAGACTTATACATTGATATCAGTGCTGAAGCAGTATATTGAGCAGGCCAAGTACTTGAGCTTCTGTTTCTCCACCTCAGACATCATGGTGCAGGAATATGTCAAGTTTGGCTCCTTGGACACATATCTGAAGAAAAACAAGAGCTCGGTATCAGTCAATATCCTGTGGAAGCTGGAAGTGGCCAAGCAGCTCGCCTGGGCTATGCTCTATTTGGTAAGAAAAAAAAGCGACAGTCCTGGAATAACCAGCTATTTGTGAAGCAAGTAGATGAATGTTTTTGGTTCTTTCACACACAGGAGGAGAAGAGTCTGGCTCATGGGAACGTGTGCGCAAAAAACATCCTTTTGATCAGGGAGGAGGACAGGGCGCTGGGAAACACGCCGTTCATTAAACTGAGTGACCCTGGCATCAGCATCACTGTGCTGCCCAGAGAGAGTGAGTCAATGTCACTGAATATTGCATATGATTGGCACATTACACCCACTCACACACAACTCTTACATTGTTTTGCTTTGCACCTCTTATTTTTGACATTTTAACAATAAATCATGAATGAATTTATACATTTATTTGACATATTTTGTTTACAAAAGGTTTTTTTTGGTTTTATGTTTTTTATGAGCACAAAAAAAAAACATTTGTACAATTTGCAATCATTTTTATACAAATTATTACACAAAAACATTGAAACGAATGAGTAAAATAATTACAGAGATATAAAGTAATAATAATAAACACCACAGTCCATTCAAACATGCACTTTATACAGTTAAGGCATTTCTGCATTATGTATTTTATTAGTTATTAGTTATTTTTAACATTGAAATGTGAATAAATTTATACATTTATTTTAAATATTTTATTTACAGCAGTTTTTTATATAAGTACAAAACAAAAACATTTATAGTCTAATAATTTTATACAAATGATAACCAAAACAACAAGTTAAATAATTAGGCAAAATAATAAAAAAAAAATAATAATAATTATTATAATACAAACACCACAGTCTATCCAAATATGCACCATATACAATTAAATAATTTATGTATTATGTATTTTATTTTTATTATTTATTAGTTATTTTGACATTTTAACATTGAAATGTGAATAAATTTGTTTTATTTTAAATATTGTATTTACAGCAGTTTTTTTATATAAGCACAAAACAAACAAAAAACATTTAAAGTCTAATAATTTTAAACAAATGATTACCAAAACAACAATTTAAATAAATAGGCAAAATAATAAAAAATTAAATAAAATAACAATAATAATAAAACATCATAGTTCATCCAAATTAAATGGACCATATACAGTTATGTCAAATGCATTATTTTTATTAGTTATTTTTGACATTTTAACATTGAACTGTGAAAGAATTTATACATTTTATTTTAAATATTTTATTTATAACCGGTCTTATAAGCTTAATATATATATATATATATATATATATATATATATATATATATATATACAGTCTGTAATATTTTTTTTTACAAATTATAATTAAAAAAAAAACATTTTAGATAAAATAATAATAATAATAATAAAAACAACAACACAGTCCACCCAAATATACAGGGGAATAATAAATTAGGAGGGCTAATAATTCGGACTTTGTTTATAAATATGTATATGTGTATATAAGCCAAGTGGCCATGTGTCAATTATTGGCATGCTTTTGAATTCTCATAAGAATATTTGTCAAAATATTTTTGAAGCACATTGCTGTTGATAGCCAAGAACAGAAAAATGTGCAACCATGACCTCCTGTTTCACATTTCGCCCACATAGTGACAGTCACACGCAACTTCTCCTTTAGTTGTGAAGCAGATAATTCAGATGAGCTGAGAGATGGGCCAATCACACTCAGTCATTCAGCACAATGAATAAGAGCAGAGAATACAGCTGTGATTCAAGGTTGTTGAGCTGCACAATGCGAGAAGGGGCCATAAGAAAATAGCAGAAACACTGAAAATGCCCATTTGAACAATCAGTACTAAAATTATAGGGTTCGTTCACCACAAATTAAAATTCTGTTATTAATTACTCAGCCTCATCTGATTCTAATCGCCTGACACATTTATTCATGCTTTCTGGTTCTATAAAAAAACAGACTTATTATTGACTTATTATACTTGTTGAATATCCACACTGACCAGTAGAGGGCAGATTTTCATCTCATATTTGCAGTGTATTAATAAAGTGGTAGTTCGAGAGGGGTCTGGCTGCAGACTCGGTGCAGTGCAATCTGAGCTGCATCCAATGCTTTTTAATGCGCTCACCTAACCCCACCCCTAACCCTTGCCGTCAGAGTGATGTCACTCACTCCATTGAGTGCATTGTGTCTGACATTGCATCGCTGAGTGATGCAATCTCAGCTTGCATCATAAAGGCTGCATCCAGATACTGTTGGGTAGTTCACCTAAAAATGAACAAATTGTCATCATTTTTTCACCCCATTAGCTTCTAATTCCAAATTATTTATTGTCTTCTATGAAATGCAAATTAATTTATAACTGTGTTTGGCCACACATTAGCAGCATGCAAAGTCCAAAACAATACTGCAGCCTGGCTTAAATTGTACAGAGATTAAAAGAAAATGAAAGAATTTCCACCACAAAGGAAGTCATATAGGTGTGTTTGTTATGGCATGAATGTGAATAAATGCAGGGTTTTGTCTGCTGATGTTTAATAGACAACTGTGCATAATTTATTGCAAGCATGTTACATGCATAATATTGCTAAATTAAATTTTACAGTATTCAAGGTTTGTAAAATATAAAAAGAAAATAGAATTGTTCAGTTATATGTGAAAATTTTGGATTTTTTTGTTATTTGAATTGTGCTTTTTATGTTCATTGTAAATATTTTTGTAGTTCTCGTAGAGCGAATCCCCTGGGTGCCCCCTGAATGCATATTAGACCCCAAAAACCTGAGTCTAGCCACTGACAAATGGAGCTTTGGGACAACTTTATGGGAGATTTGCAGCGGAGGAGAACAGCCACTTGCCAACATGGACAATTCCAAGGTAAAGCAATACTTGGGTCCTTAATATGGTAAATATTAATAATAAATAAATTAATAAATTATATATAATATATATATATATATATATATATATATATATATATATATATATATTAGTTAAAGAAATAGTTCAGACTTCTTAAAAGACATGATGTCTATTATTCCTCCATTCAGTAAAACTGTTAGTAATAACAAATGCTGTTAAAAGGGTAAAGAACACCATTTTTCTTTTAGAAATAAACTCATTTTACTGCTCTAGTGTTGAATAATTTAGTTTTACCATTTTTTAATCCATTCAGATTCTCTGGGACTGGCTGGAATACTTTTAACTTAGCTTAGCATAAGTCATTGAAACATATTAGAATATTAGCATCTTGCTCCAAAAAACAACTTTTATTTTTCTTTCTGTATTAGCACACAATGTAAATACAGAAGAGTCAAGCAATAAATAGGAATATGTTCAAAACATTTTTTAGAATCTTTTGAGTAAGTTGCTAACGGTCTAATCTGATTCAATTATCTATGCTAAGCTAAAAGTAGAAAACCTAAGCTAAAAAATCAACTTTTAATTTTCCGTCATTCTTAGCACACAATGTGAATTTAGAATAGTCAAACTTTAAATAGAAAAATGATCAAAACTCTTTTTTTCAATTTTTAGAGTGAGATGCTAACGATCTAATCTGAGTCAATGATCTATGCTAAGCTACGATGAAAATAAATAAAAAAAGTTAAGCTAAAAAAACAACTTTTCATTTTTCTCTATGTAAATACAAAATAATAATAATTTATAATAATAATTTAAATAGGAGAATTATCAACTCTTTTTAGAATTTTCGGAGTGAGATGCTAATGGTCTAATCCAATTCAATGGTCTATGCTAGGCTAAGCTAAAAGTAAAATTTCTGACACTCTTAGCTTACAATGTAAATACAAAAAACAGAACAGTTATGCTTTAGATAGGAAAATTATTAAAACATTTTTTTTTTATTCTTTGAGCAAGATGCTAATGGTCTAATCTGATTCTATGATCTATGCTAAGCTAAGCTCAAAGTGCTCCCATCAGAACCCAGAGATCAGCTAAATGGATTCCGAAATTAGTCTATTTTCCAAAAACGTGGAGCATTCCCTTTTAAAGCAATAATCCAGACCTCTTGAAGAACAGGATTTCTTGTATTTCTCCATTTCAGAAACACTTATTTTATGAAAACCATCACCAACTACCCGCCCCGAAGTGGACAGAGCTGGCTAACCTGATCAACAGCTGCATGGACTACGAGCCGACGTTCAGGCCATCGTTCAAAGCCATCATTCGAGACCTAAACAGTCTCTTCTGCCCTGGTCAGTTCACTCATGATGACCGTGGTTTAGTGCTTTTTTTTTTTTTGTTATTCCCGTCGTGACTTCTGTGATGAATTGCGTTCTCAGATTATGAGATCGTGAAGGAGAGCGACATCATGCCCAGCAGAGCAGCAGCGTCTATATTCAACACTGGAACATTTAAGAATAATGAACCCGTGCAGTTTGAGGAGAGACATCTGATTTTCCTGCAGCAGCTGGGCAAGGTACATGTACTAACACTTTATATTAGACAGGGCTCGAAATTGCAACCATTTTGGTCGCATATGCGCCCGAAATTTTATCTATGCGACCTTAAAATATATTTGGGAGCATTTCTGCGAGTGTTTAAAATTGTTGTGTGCGACCAATTTTTACTGCAAAATGTTCAGCACATGCGCGGATTCGGGAGACATTCACGAAGAATGCATCTCTAAGCTCTTTGTCTGCGAAACGCAGCGCTCAGGAATGGTTTAAAACTGTTGTCATGTCAACTTGCTGCAGTAAACAAAGCCAAGTCCGTAATGCTTGCCCCGCCTTTGCGCTCTTCTTATTGGCCCACCACTGCTCTAGCACTGAACGCGAATGATTGGTTAATATCAGCTGTCAATCACTCAGTGCCTTCTGGCTTGGGATGACAGAGAGAGCTACTACCGCGAAAAATTGTAAAGCGCTGAAGATGAGAATGAAGATAACACAACACTGACAGATTTAGTTTTAGAAACCATGGCATCTACAGTTACAAATAATGACACGTCTTACTAGTAATCATGTGCTGAATGTTAAACCACCATCTACACTTTTCCAAGAGTAGAAGACTTCCATTAGCTTCAAGTCCGCTGTGAAAAGTCTGTGGGATGGAGTTTTCAGGTAACTGTTTGCCACATCTAGCACGAGAGCTTCTCTTTGATCCTTCATATAATGGCCAGATGCTGTCCGCCGTGCAAGGGGCAGCTATATATCAAATTTAACACCACGTACACCATCGGCATCGCAAACGGGCTTACACTGAGTAAACTAATATCGCTACTCATGAAAAGACAGTATTGCTATTAACATGACGTAACGTTATGCATATAATAAGGTACAGTATATGTCAAAAGAATCAGTGCAATATCAGACAGCACTTGTGAGAACAGCAGAGTTATACCGTTAACACGTTAATTCAAGCAGTGCGTGCAGGGCCGGTGAGCGCTCCGTTATGCTTTGGTCACTGAGTTATGTTATTTTTTATTTTTTTCTTGTGATAACGGGATTTCGTTGAGACATATTTTCCTCACGCTTGCATATAACGTTATATATGAATTTTTTTTTGCTTGTTAGTTTGATTAGTGTTGATTTCAAATACAACAAATATGTTTGTATAAAACTTGTAACGGTGCTCATAATTGGTGGGTGCGACTAAATTTTGCCTGATGCGCCTAAATTTTTAAAGTTAGGAGCACCGGTGCTACCAAGCAAAAAGGTTAATTTCGAGACCTGTTATATTGAACATACTGTTCTTATGTTTCTCAAAACATGTTTGTAATACAGTTAACTAGTGCTGCACGATTCTAGCAAAAATGTTTTGCTTAAAGTCGAGATCACAATTTTCTCACAATTCTGTAAAAGTAAAATAAAGGTTAATGTGATTAGCCTATTATCATAGTAAATCCTCAAACATATGGTAAAACAACAATAATATTAAGCCTATGTGTCGGTCTACTGTTGCTTAAAATGCTAAATTTTGTATAGTCATAAGGTTGGACTTGAACAGACTTTCAATATGTCCTGTTTGATAATTCACAGTAAAATGATGACATCAGAATATAACTATTCATAATTCTAAAGTTGATTTATTATGTTTAAGACATGTGCTTGTCATCTGTTATTGACAACATTATTAGACCATTTGTTTTCACAGGTAAAATTAGACATTTGTCATTATCAGATTTGTAGCGTCCTGGTTAAAAGATGACTAAGTCTTTTACTGATGGTTCACGATTCATTTATTGGTCACACTCTATGGAATTAGTTCGGATTATTTCATCATGAATCACCGTAAGAACTAGAGAGAAAATAAACAAACACAAATTCATTCATTCATTCATTTTCTTGTCGGCTAAGTCCCTTTATTTATCCGGGGTTGCCACAGCGGAATGAACCGCCAACTTATCCAGCAAGTTTTTACACAGCGGATGCCCTTCCAGCCGCAACCCATCTCTGGGAAACATCCACACACACATTCACACACTCATACACTACAGACAATTTAGCCTACCCAATTCACAGCAAGAAGGTCGCTGGTTCGAACCTCGGCTCAGTTGGCGTTTCTGTGTGGAGTTTGCATGTTCTCCCTGCGTTTGTGTGGGTTTTCTCCGGGTGCTCCGGTTTCCCCCTCAGTCCAAAGACATGTGGTACAGGTGAATTGGGTAGGCTAAATTGACCGTAGTGTATGAGTGTGTGTGTGGATGTTTCCCAGAGATGGGTTCCAGCTGTAAGGGCATCCACTGCATAGAAATATGCTGGATAAGTTGGCGGTTCATTCCGCTGTGGCGACCCCATATTAATAAAGGGACTAAGCCGACAAGAAAATGAATGAATGCTACAAAATTCCTTGTGTTCCGTCCTTTCTATTTAATTTCATGTCATCCCTAATGAATAATAAGAAACTCTTTGTGCCATCACTGATCACGGATGTTTGTTTGCTAATAAACTAAAGACCGTCATTTTATGTTGTTTCCAGGGTAATTTTGGCAGTGTGGAAATGTGCAGGTACGACCCTCTGCAGGACAACACCGGCGAGGTGGTGGCGGTGAAAAAGCTTCAGCACAGCACCACTGAGCACATTCGGGACTTTGAGCGGGAAATCGAGATCCTTAAATCCCTCCAGCATGAGAACATTGTGAAATATAAAGGCGTGTGCTACGGTGCAGGTATTTGTCTTTTTACGTCTTTTCACTTCCCATGTGCCGTCATCACACCCACACATTTCCACAGAACTTGAGTGTACATTTTTTAACAGTTTTGTGTGTCATATTAAGGGCTGTTAGTTGGACTGAATCTAAGTTCAATTTCCTGTTGTACACTAACTGACAAAAGTCTTGTCGCCTGTCTAACTTTTAGGAACAAGAAATAATAACTTGACTTCTTTGGTATCAGAAGTGGCTTCTATAAGAGGCAAAGGCCTCTAGATTACGCTTATTTGACCAAAACAAAATATGATCATGTCTTGATTTTTAGTTATTTAATTAAGACAGTAAAGTCTGAACACTTTGCTTATACAAAAGTCTTGTCACTTAACAGACATAATGTACAGTATAGAATATAAAGTCATGCTGCAGTGGAAACAGAATAATAATATTAGGTTTGACTCCCATGAGCCTGGAGGACTGCATCCATACATCTCTGCAATGACTCAAATCACTTATTAATAAAGTCATCTGGAATGGCAAAGAAAGCGTTCCTGCAGGACTCCCAGAGTTCATCAAGATTCTTTGTTTTCATCTTCAATGCCTCCTCTTTTATCTTATCCCAGACATGCTCAATAATGTTCATGTCTGGTGACTGAGCTGGCCAGTCCAGGAGCACTTTGACCTTCTTTGCTTTCAGGAACTTTGATGTGGAGGCTGAAATATGAAAAGGAGCGCTATCCTGCTGAAGAATTTGCCTTCTCCTGTGGTTTGTAATGTAATGGGCAGCACAAATGTCTTGACACCTCAGACTGTTGATCCTGTTATCCACTCTGCAGGTCTCTCGCACATCCCCATACTGAGGCCCCGTTTACACTAATGCGTTTTAGTTTGAAAACGCATAAGTTTTGCTACGGTTACGCCAACCGTCCACACTACGCCGGAGTTCTCGAGCGCCGAAAACGGAGCGTTTCGAAAATGCTGGAGAGGCCGTTTTCATTTTGAAACGCTGCTGCTCCGTCTCAGTGTGGATGATGGAAAACGGAGACATCTGAAAACGGAGGCGGGGCTGCAGACGTTCGCCTCTCTGATTGGGGCTTTTCCTGAATATTAAGTAGCCTAACACACAGTTCAGTCCTGAATCTTCTCCGTGTAAGTTCAGACTTCGCAAGTTTGATCAAGGCTGCAGTCTCTTCTCAGTTTGATATGGAAAAGCAGACTATACCGAGGACACGGGTAAATCTTCAAAGGGAACAGTGTACTTTATAACTTCATTCACATCACCCTTCGTTGTTTCACTTTCTCAACAATAAAATGTAAACATGATTTAAGGAACTGCCTATTTTCATTTTAATATTAGCAACTTAGACAGCAGAAATGTTGAGGCGTCGTGCTGCATAAGATGAGCGTCATCTTCACTGTCTGGATATTTATAACAAAACGGAGCCGATAACAACTGCCTCCTTTCAATTTCAGTGAAAATACGAAACACAGCCTCTCTTTTGCTGAGTATCAGTTTTAAGAATCGATAATGGCCATTATAAAAGTATAACATACAATAAGTTTATACATTATAGGAAATAAAGGCAAGCGATCAGTCAATATACAGAATGTACGTGGTTACATTAATCATTAACTTATCTTTGCGCTCAGCCAAAACACGTTACCTGAGAACAAGTAATAGATTCCAATGCCCAAAGTCAGGGAATATGTCGTTAGATAAAGACAACAAGATGAATGAAATATCCCGTTTAATAAATATAGTGAGATTAGATCCAGCGGGAGATGCTTGATGAGAAGTCCGACTAGCAGAGCTCTCATCTGGGTACATGGGCTGCAGCGCTTGCCCGAGAGCGTCTGTGTGGTCACGTGATGTGCGTTTTCAGTGTTTTGGTGTGGACGGAGAGCAGTTCAGAAACGCTGGGTAAAACGCGAGTGTGGACGCGGATCGTTTTCATTCTAAAACGCCGTTTTAAAACTAAAACGTACTAGTGTAAACGGGGCCTGAATGTAACCCCAAACCATGATTTTTCCTTCACCGAACTTGACTGATATCTGTGAAAATCTTGGGTCCATGCGGGTTCCAAAAGGTCTTCTGCAGTATTTATGATGATTGGTATGCAGTTCTGAGGATTACAAGCATATATTTTGATTGAATTGAAAGAATCTTCGCCTTATTCAGATTAATTTCAGGTAATTTGTCAGCCCATTCACTTTTTTGGGATATCCATATCTTCTACAGTATATTGGACTGTAGAATTCCCACTATCTCCATCGCTTTGCTTACTTGGGAACACCTCAGAAACTGACAATCTTCCTAGCAAGTATAAAACTCTTAATTTCCCTCACTATCGCCAAGGAGAGCATTTTAGTAAACGGGGAAACAAAATATTCCATTCATATTATAACCCCTGCACCAATCTCCTTATAGAATGTATTACATTAAAATTTAAATTACATTCTTCTGACCATCTTCACCAACAACTATAATCCGTTTTTTCAATATCTTATAACTATATATATATATATATATATATATATATATATATATATATATATATATATATATATATATATATTTTTTTTTTTTTATTATTATTATTATTATTTTTTCTTTTTTTTTTTTTCTGCCATGAACTTAACCCACACACAACATTTCTTTCTGTCATTATTAAAGTGTGTGTGTTTGTGTATCTGTGTTTGTGTGTACGCGTGAACTTTGTAACGATATTTTGTGTGACTCATCAATGCAACTGCACAACAAATACTCATTGGTAAAGTTCTTACTGTAGTATTTCTCATAAATGCTACGTGAGATCTTGTTCCTTTAAGTCTTTCCGTTGTCTGATGCAGCCGAGGGAAGTGATTAAGGAACGCAGAAAGGCTCGTAGAAATGGTAGGCGGGGAGGACTCGCCTTAAAGGCGCAGTACGACAAAACAGGCCCCTGGTGGAAAAATGTATAAAATATGATCTTGTAAAAGGTATAATGAAAAATCTGAAGGGTGTTTTGAGCTGAAACTTTAAATACACATTCTAGAAACGCAAAACATTTATATTAAATCTAAAAAAAAAGGGGTGACCTAGATGCCCTTTAATGTTGTTTCTTATAATTTAATTTCCTCATGTCTTCTCCTTTCCAAATTCAAAACTCGTAGACGATTTAGAGATGTACATTCAATTCCCATAACACTCACACACTAACACCTCACATAATTACATACATATATCTATTGTTTATTGTTAAACCTGCTTTGTGTACTTTGTTTTACTTTGAAAAGTAAGTAATAAAATGCAAAACAGATGAATTTAGGTGTTTGGAGACCCTGGTGATCAGGTTCTTCTTGGACCGCTTTTTTCTAATCATATTCGGATCTTCCTCCATTCAATCAGCAACTTATCGCATTTAGTCAAGTCCCTATTCTACATTTTATCCTATTTTTCTGCAATCCATTTCTTTTGAGAGTACATCATAAATGAAAGAACATTTCTGTCACTGAATACATTGTGAAATTTGACCTCAAAACGTCTTGAATCTGTCTAGACGCGCTTGAAATATTTCAATGTCAGACAGGTTTTATGATGATTCTCAATTCAGTTTTGGAGAGTGAAAAACAGCCCAGTGTAAAGCCTGGTGATTACCTTGGTAATTGTTAGAGCACATGATGGATGAATGGTGTTTTTACAAATTGCACCAAATAAACCTCAAACATTGTCTCAAACAAACTCGAGTCCTTGCCAAGTTTTAGTATGAAAGTGCTCAAAATAATCAGCCCTCCATGAAAACTTTTTGTTCTTTTTTAAATATTTGATGTTTATAAGTTATTGATGTTTAACAGAGCAATGATTTTATTCACAGTATTTCCCATAATATTTTTTCTTCTGGAGAAAGTCTTATTTGTTTTATTTCGGCTAGAATAAAAGCAGTTTTTAATTTTTTAAACACCATTTAAGGTCAAAATTATTAGCCCCCTTAAGCAATATTTTTTTAGATTGTCTACAGAACAAATCATCGTTATACACTGATCTACTAATTACCCTAACTTGCCTAATTAACCTATTTAAGCCTTTAAATGTCACTTTAAGCTGAATACTAGTATCTTCAAAAATTCCTAGTCAAATATTACGTACTGTCATCATGGCAAAGATAAAAGAGTCAGTTATTATGGTGGCTTGAGAAAGCCAACATACTGTAATACTACATAAACTTATTATTCTTCTTCCATCTTCTTGTTCTTCTTCTTCTTAGACTATTTTAAGAACGCATCTCCTCCTAGACAGTTTATACTACAACCACCAAACTAACCTCAAACCTCCAAACTACACTGAATTAAGTTACTATATCTTTTCCAACTGATCCGACTTACAGTTTACCGAAAATTGACCCGGAAAATCCGGAAAAGCCCTATTGACTTAACATTGGACCAAAGTTTGTGACCTCATAACTTTGCGTCAGACTGTCATACAGACTCAAAGTTGGGCTCATTTAATTCAGACCTTCAAACTGACAATCACCTATCATCTTACTAGCCACACCCTAGCAACCACTTATGGCACCCTAGCAACTGTCCCATAGACCATTGTATTCAGGAGAACTAATAGTTCTGATTTTAACTGTACATTAACCAATGGTTTACCTCTGACCTTCTGTCACAGTCTGTACATAGAATGTAAAACTAGTATATAGTCAGTAAGGACTCTTTTGTTCCTTACTGAGTTATAGCTCAGATGAATTGCAGTGTTTGCCTGATGTCTTTATTGTAAGCTTTGCATCATTTCTTGTTTTCTCAGGGAGGAGAAACCTACGGCTGGTTATGGAGTACCTGCCTTACGGAAGTCTACGGGACTATCTCAACAAAAACAGAGATCGGATTGACCACCAGAAACTTGTCCATTATGCATCTCAGATATGCAAGGTATTGAAGACCTTTCCCCTAAAGGAACAATCCACTTTTAAAAATATATATTTTAGTGCTAAAACATGTCAGAAATTCAGGAGTATTGAGATAATATCCATCATTTATATAATTTGAATCCTGACCCCCACATGAAAAATTAAATATTAATACAATTAAATTGTAATTAAATAAAATTTTAGAAGTAGTCTCATTTAAAAAAACTCCCCTAGAGTTAAATGGTAGAGTTTAACCATATATCAGTCCATTCAGCCTTTCTCGAGGTCTGGCGGGAACACTTTTAGCTTAGCTTAGCATAAATCATTGAATCGGATTAGACCATTAGCATCTTGCTTAAATTCAAATAAAAAGGTTTCCATAATTTTCCTATTTAAAGCTGATGGTAGGTTGCTATGTTTTGAGTTTAGGATCTAGGTAGCCATGGTATTGCCCCTTAATTATTATCCCATAATGAGAGCATAGTTTCTAGCCAAATTGACATAGAAAATAGCAACCTTTCATTATTCCGTCAGTCTTAATACACAATATACAGGGTTCATACGGTCATGGAAAACCTGGAAAAGTCATGGAATTTTGACATGGCATTTTCCAGGTTTGGAAAAGCTTAGGAAAAACGGAAAAACTCACAAAGTTTTGGAAAAGTCATGTAAAACAGATATCTGTGTACTTGAATTTAGGTTTTTTACTTTTTTGTCTTTGGCCATTTACATGCTCACACATTATTAGTGTAAGCATTATCTGACTCAATTTTACATGAATATAAATATAAATTAAAACTAAATAGATTGTTGCGTGTTTTACAATATGCTGTAGTAAATTTAACCATGCTTTGTTTTTCTTTTACCACGCATATGTAGACATTGCATTAAACGTTAGGTCATGAAAATTTACTTGAAAGTCTTGGAAAAATCATGGAAAAGCGATGGAATTTTTGTAGTAAAAATGTGTATGAACCCTGAATATGAATAAAAAAATAGTCATGTTTTAAATAAGAAAATTATCGAAAAGAAAACGAAAATTATTTTTTTTTTATTGTTATTTTTTTTACTTTTTTGGAAAAAATGCTAATGGTCTAATCTGATTCTATGATCTATGCTTAGCTACGCTAAATGTTCCCTCAACTCATCTGTTTAGCTCTGTGGAAATTGTAAAGTAAGCCTATTTACAAAAGTGTTTCTCCTCAAGCTCAAGATGACTTGAATATTTAATATAATATATATAATTATTATAAGACAAAACAAAATTAAACAGTAACAGTCTTCTGTCTTAGTGCACTTACAACCCATTTCTTTATTTAACAGAATCTTTTTGTTTCTTTGTTTGTTTATTTCACAAAAAGAAACAGTTTGAAGTAATCAATGTTCCCCCATGTACGTACCCAGATTAGCCCAAAAATTTCATTGGTGGTCCCCTAGCTAGATGTTAAAGGCTATAGCATTAAAAATACACATTCAAACTATAAACAATACTTAAATGAACAACAAAAAACAATAACAACAATATCAAAAAGCCTAGTGTTCGCAATGTTGATTATTAAGAAGCCACATATGATGAAAATCATCTTTTGCAAGCATCTTTTGGACAGAACTGTGGGTAGGAATAGTGCATCCACTGTCATATTTTAGTGATATAAGTCACTTTTTCTGTTTCATGATGTTTAAATAGGATCCAAATCCCTACTAATTTGAGGCCCACTGCAATGTGAAGTAGGAGTACGGTTTCCCCGCACACTGAATTGATTGACAGCCACGTATATGTCTCCGTAGTAATGCATATAATCTTATCCACAAGACAGGACGTGTGCAAAGCAACCAGGATTAAAAGATTTGTTCAGCGCTCTGTGATCATCAATCATCATGAAATGTGATCAAGAATGAGTTTAACAAGTTTAAAACTTTTTTAAAACAGTGCATGTTTGTAATAAATAACAGCGATTTTACCATCTTTATAACCACAGCCGCATGTCAGTACAATTATAAATGAAGATGCTTCAATCCCACTTTGTGGACGTTAAATCATTTTTATTTAGTACAATAACATAACGGATATCCACAGCAGTGAATATTAACATGTATCCTGTCACATTTGCTGTGCAAAAACAATGCAAAGTTAATTGCGCATGCTGTGTGTTCAAGTTTGTAACAGCATTATGCCGAAAGGCTTAAATTAATTCTTTAACAAATACATCAAATAATCATTGGGGAAGTTCTTACTGTAGTATTTCTCACAAACGTTATGCGAGATCTCCTTCCTTCATGTCTGTCACTGTGCTGTTTATCTCACCCAGCCGAGGCAAAGACTGAGGCACACTATGACAGGCACGTGGGAACGGTGGGCAGGGGGAACAAGCATTAAAGGCACAGGCAACAAAAACAGCTTCATGATGTTCAAAACAAAAAAATCCAATATTCTGAAAGCTATAATAAATAATCTGATGGGTGTTTTAAGCTGAAACTTTGCAGACACATTCTGGACACAACTTAAATCTTGAAAAGGGAGTAAAATAGGTGCCCTGTAACTAAAGACACATGTTCTTTAACAAATTGTGGCATAAAATTTCACTGATGCGATGCTCTAAAAGAAAAACAAGAACTAGCTGCACCCCTAGTTTCTCTATGCAATTTAAATCTGTAGGAAGTCAGCCAGAGGGAGAGGAGCTAAACAATGCATACTCTTGTAAACTGCACAACCGTTTCCGAGTCTTTCCATATTTTTTAAATTGTCTTTTTCCGAGTACAGGTTTGACTTCTCTGAAATGCTCTTGTGTCTACAGGGCATGGAATACCTTGCGACGAAACGGTACATTCACCGAGACCTGGCCACACGAAACATCCTGGTGGAGAGCGAGTGCAGGGTGAAGATTGGAGACTTTGGCTTGACCAAGGTTTTACCTCAGGACAAAGAGTACTACAAGGTTAAGGAGCCTGGAGAGAGTCCCATTTTCTGGTGCGTTTTGCTTGTTTATCATTCAGCAGCAAGATTTGCATAGGAATGTCAGTCATTTAGGTTTAGAATGTGACCGAATGAGTACATTTCCAGAGTGCGGTGTTAAAACTCCCCAATCCTGCAGGTTTGCTTTATATACAGCGGGGGAAAACATATTTCTAAAGATGCTGTTGACTTGAAATTTTCCCCAGATGTTGAGAACAGACAAAACTAATTAGTTTACAAATTATGTTGTGTAAAAAAAATAAAACGACGCAGGAAAAAAAGTTATTGAACACATGAAGAAAGGAAGGTGTAGAAAGGCAGTGAAAGTCCAGACAGCAGCTGAAATCTCTCAGTAGTTCTTCAGCAACCCTCTGCCCTTCATCATTGTAAATGAATATCAGCTGCTTCAGTCCAACATCTACATTAGCTGGAGGATGAAGATGAAACCAGGATGGAGATTTCAGCATGACAGTAATCCAAAACCAAGGAAGCTCTCAAATGCTTTCAGAGAAAGAAAATGAAGCTGTAAAGTGGCCCAGCCAATCACCTGACTTAAATCCATAGCCAGCCCTCCCTATATACACGCTAAGCTGTTGCTTAGCGCCCTGCCACCACTAGGGACCCCCTACAACCCACTTGTCCTTTTGGAATTTATTTTTAAAAAATATATACCCCAACCTATAGTCTTTTATAGAATCTTCAATCTGTTTGCTTCACTGTAACACACATTTCTTTCTAATTTTTTTTATTTTATAAATTTTTTCTAGTAATTTGAGAATTTGTTTTTCTCTGTAGACCTTCCCAACACACAAACTGTACACCTTCTTTTGATATTATGTTGGTTAATTTTGACTTCATAACTTGACACAATAGTCACCGGTGAGCCCTCGTAGTCAGAATTGCATTGCAATTTAGTTGTTTCGAAATTGTTAACCATTTTTATTACTTCCAGTCACTATTGTGTTAACAAATGTCCACCTCTTACATCTTCTAGATGTGCAAGCAGGAAGTAAACAGATCTTCTCATGTGACATTTTTCTTGCACAAAGTCAGCAACAACACTTTGAGCTTCCAGAAATAAGACAAAACACACTTTTACAACTGAGATCAGTGGGATTAAATGTCTCCATCATCTTTCCTGGTGCAATAACGCAGGGCATCTGAATCTTTGACTATTTTTAAAGTGATAGTTCCGTCAGAAATAAAAACTCTGTCATCATTTACACAACTTTCACTTGTCACAAACCAGTTTTCCTACTGTAGAAGTCAGCGTTTACTGGTTTCAAATAGGTTTTCATAATACTGGAATTCACTACCAATCGCTAATAATTTTTAAAATGTTCATTTCCCACTAACATTTGAGCGCTGTTCAGAAAATGACTGTGAAGGTCATCTGTTCACTGAATTCAACACTTTTAACTGAGTTTAACCACAGAAACAGGGACACTGAAGCATTTCAATGTCTCGTCGATCAGCAGGTTTGCCTATAAGCTGATATATGAGCGATCCGCTGATCGAACTCATCCTAACCCTTTCTCTTAACCACTAAAGTCAGTAAACAATATGTACATTTTTGGATGAACTGTCACTTTAAGAAATGTCTTGGGTTTAAATCTATCAGTTGTTTGTTCTTCATCCGTTCTTGTTTGTTTAAAACCAATTTAAAATGCTGACCCTCTAACATACTGTTGCTTTCCCGGTCATTTGACATGCTCCCTTTCTCCTCTTTTGTAATTCATGTCGGATGAAAGCATCTGCTAAATGAATAGCTGTGGATGTAAATGAATGAACCATTGTGTTGTGGCAGGTATGCTCCTGAGTCTCTGACTGAGAGCAAGTTCTCGGTAGCGTCCGACGTCTGGAGTTTCGGAGTGGTTCTGTATGAACTCTTTACATACAGCGACAAGCTCTGTAGCCCACCGACGGTAAGAAATACTTTGTGTGTTTTTCATAGAGTCCAGTTTAAAATGCTGAGAGTATTACCCAGAGATAGGTTTGTTTTCCCAAAGATGAAAACTGATAGTTAATTTAATCACTCACAGCTCATGCAAAGTGTTCAATGGGACATATTTAGAAGAATTTTTGAGCTGAATCCATGGTCCTTGGTGGTTCATATAATGGCAGTGAATGGTTACCCATTTTTCAGATTGAAGATAAACGCATACAGATGAGTCCAGGATTCCTGTGGATCCTGATGATAGATTGAGGTCTTATGAAGTTAAATAAGTAGAACAAATGCATAAAGTAGAACATTTAAGAAGATTTTTAAGCTGAATCTGTGGTTCTTAGTGGTTCATATAATAATAATGAATGGTTACCCATTTTTAGTAAGAATATAAACATACGGACGAGTCCAAATCAATCCTAGTGGATCCTGATGATAGACTGAGTTCTTATGAAGTCAAATGAGTAGAAAATGAACAGAACAAATGAATAAATTAAAACATTTAAGAAGATTTGAGCTGGATCTATGGTGTATATATAATGGCAGTTAGGGGTTACCCAATTTTCAGATTAAAAAATAAACGCTTACAGACGAGTTCAAGTCAATCCACCATGAATCTTGATGATAGACTGAGGTCTTATTAAGTTAAATAAGTAGAACAAATGCAAAAGTAGAACATTTAAGAAGATTTTTAAGCTGAATCTGTGGTTCTTGATGGTTCATATAATGGCAGTGAATGGTTACCCGTTTTTCAGATTGAAAATAAACACATACAGATGAGTCCAAATCAATTCCTGTGGATCCTGATGATAGACTAAGGTTTTATGAAGATAAATGAGTAGAACAAATGAATAAAATAGAACATTTAAGAAGATTTTGAGCTGAATACATTGTTCTTATAATGGCAGTGAATGGTTACCCGTTTTTCAGATTGAAAATAAACACATACAGATGAGTCCAAGTCCCTTCCTGAGGATCCAGATGATAGACTAAGGTCTTATAAAGATAAATGAGTAGAACAAATGAGAAAAATAGATAATTTAAGAAGATTTTGAGCTGAATATGTGGTTCATATAATGGCAGTGAATGGTTACCCGTTTTTCAGATTGAAAATAAACACATACAGATGAGTTCAAATCAATTCCTGTGGATCTTGATGATAGACTAAGGTCTTACGAAGTTAAATGAGTAAAACAAATGAATAAAGTAGAACATTTAAGAAGATTTTAAGCTAAATCTTAGGCTCATATAATGGCAGTGAATGGTTACCCGTTTTTCAGATTGAAAATAAACACATACAGATGAGTCCAAGTCCCTTCCTGAGGATCCAGATGATAGACTAAGGTCTTATAAAGATAAATGAGTAGAACAAATGAGAAAAATAGATAATTTAAGAAGATTTTGAGCTGAATATGTGGTTCATATAATGGCAGTGAATGGTTACCCGTTTTTCAGATTGAAAATAAACACATACAGATGAGTTCAAATCAATTCCTGTGGATCTTGATGATAGACTAAGGTCTTACGAAGTTAAATGAGTAAAACAAATGAATAAAGTAGAACATTTAAGAAGATTTTAAGCTAAATCTTAGGCTCATATAATGGCAGTGAATGGTTACCCGTTTTTCAGATTGAAAATAAACACCTACAAATGAGTTCAAATCAATCCCTGTGGATCCTGATGGTAGACTGATCATTTAACTCAACGAGAGCTCAGTCTGTTTAAGAGTTTTAACATTATTTACAATGTTATTAGCTTTAATCCACAGCATTACCACACCTACAGTTTAAGCAGGCTTTGGATTAAAGCTATTGTTATTGTAAATATCTTTCAATTTCTTGCACATAAAAGTCATTTCACTTCATAAGATTCACTTAAAGGATTTATTTGTATCATTTGTAGGTTTCTTTTTTATCTGAAAAACGGGTAACCATTCACTGCCATTATGTGAACCATCAGGGAGCATGAATTCAGCTCAAAATCTTTTTTTAAAGTGCTACTGAATAAAGCCACCTATGTCTTCAATGGTCTGAGGGTAAAATTAACTGTAAATTAAAATGTTTAGGTGAACTATACCTTTAAATTTGACTAGGTTGACACTATTATCTCATGCACTATGACAATAAATCCAAAAACGTCACGTCTGTTATAATTTAAGATGTAAAAACAGGCTTAAAAGTACGTTTATTTAACCAACTTGTTTATTTTTCAGTGTGGATGCAATCCTGCAAGCATAGCGGCTAAAAATGGGATATAAAAACGTCTACGGCTACATGTATTGACTTACGACATTTACAATCGAATGACATAAATGAAATATCAAAGTTTCAGCATCAGCTACATTTATCACATAGATCTAATGTTGTTATACACAGGTAAATGTCAATGTTAAATCTTATTTAGGAAGATGAAATTAATGTTGTCTACTCAGCCAACATACTCAGTTGAGTTTTCATTTAACCTCCTTTCTGAAATGGGCCTTTTACTTGCTACATGTTTATTCTTTAAGTAGCTCAGAATGATTGGACTAGCACAATCACGGCAACTGTTGAATGAGAACTGCTGTGTTTGTGTATTCAGGTGTTTTTGAGTATGGTCGGAGGCGACAAGCAGGGACAAACGATAGTCTATCATCTCATCGAGCTGTTGAAAAGAGGAAACCGTTTACCACAACCCATGGGCTGTCCTACAGAGGTAACAGATCTCAGCAACACCACTTCAGCTTATCACCACCGCACAGAAGTAGCCAAGATCAGCTTTCTTCAGCGTTGAACATTTGTTTACCTATTCAAACAAAATTCAGCAAGTTTTGTCAAAAGTAATCCAGAAGTAGTAATTAGTAACTAGTAAGTAATTTATATAATTACTAATTAATTGATGTAATTTATAAGTATACTGCTGACTACATTACTTCACGTAATATATTGATTTGTTTGTTTATTTTTCTGTATATGAGCACCAAAATATATTTTATGCAGTGATAACTGTTCAGCAAGGACATAGTCAATCAATCAGAAGTTGTTGTTTTTTTAATTTCAGTAAGTTTTTAGAAAAAAAAGGTGGAAAAAAAGTTTTTGTAATTGATAGCTTTCTTCTTTTTTTTAGGCTTAGTCAGATTATAGAAAACAGAAAAGTATAGCCGGTAGCTAACTCTCTGCAACTCTCACATGGTCGCTCACTGAAGCTCAGCTGGGCTGCGCCCGGTCAGTACCTGGATGGGAGACCACATGGGAAAAGCTAGGTTGCTGCCAGAAGTGGTGTTAGTGAGGCCAGCAGGGGGCACCCAACCTGTTTTCTGTGTGGCTCCTAATGCCCCAGTATAGTGAAGAGGACCCTATACTGCTCCGTGAGCACCGTCTTTCAGATGAGACGTTAAACCGAGGTCGTTAAAAAACCCATGATGTCCTTTGAAAAAAAGAGTAGTGGTTTAAACCCAGCATACTGGCCAAATTTGCCCACAGGCCTCTGTCTATCATGGCCTCCTAACCCTTCCTATATCATAATTGGCTTCATGACTCTGTCTCCTCTCCACCAATCAGCTAGTGTGTGGTGTGCGGTCTGGTGCAAAATGGCTGCCGTTGCGTCATCCAGGTGGATGCTGCACACTGGTAGTGGATGAGGAGATTCCCCCCCAATGTGTAAAGTGCTTTGAGAGCCCAGAAAATATATAATGTAAAGAATTAATATTATTATTATCATATATAAAAGTAGGGGTGAGGCAGTGGCGCAGTAGGTAGTGCTGTCGCCTCACAGCTAGAAGGTCGCTGGTTCGAACCTCTGCTCAGTTGAAACCTCTGCTCTGCTCGGTTGTTTCTGTGTGGAGTTTGCATGTTCTCCCTGCCTTCACGTGGGTTTCCGCCGGGTGCTCCGTTTTCCCCCACAGTCCAAAGACATGTGGTACAGGTGATTTGGGTAGGCTAAATTGTCCGTAGTGTATGAGTGTGTGTGTGTGTGTGAATATGTGTGTGTGTGTTTCCCAGAGATGGGTTGCGGCTGGAAGGGCATCCGCTGCGTAGAAACTTGCTGGATAAGTTGGCGGTTCATTCCGCTGTGGCGACCCCAGATTAATAAAGGGACTAAGCCGACAAGAAAATAAATGAATGATATATAAAAATATATAATTAAAAAATATGCTAATTAAATAATGCAATAAAATGTTTATATATATGGAAAGATTTCATTAATTTAAATCAACTGAGGTGATAAAGTTTTTTTCTATGCAGTGCATCTGAATAAAATATATTCAATTACAAGCATAGATATATAGATGAGAAATATCACACTTGTAGCAGTGCGATATGGCTGTATATCGGGACTGGTGGGAGCCGTACGTTGGCACGAGGCCACAGTTTGAGTGCCTTACGCCCGATTCACATGTGTCTTCAGCATCAACGCTTGACAGAGTGCATTGCGTGTCTGAAGTTGGGGCTGATACAATCGTCATAGCAGTCTCAGCCAATGAAATTAGTCTGCAACTACTGTCTGATCTGGTGTATTTGCATAAAGCATTCTGATTGGCTGAAGCTACCGTTGGCATTCGAAAAGATGAGAAATTCTCAACTTCTGCAGCAAGCAAAAATCCTTTGTATCAGGAACTACTTTCTTCCGCATTTACAGCTTTAAATGATCAGCTTTACATCTTCATATTAGTTTTATAGCTCCTAAACGCAAAATTTGTCACTGTTTTAGTGCACACTACCTTATAGATATCCTAAAAATGAACAATACTGATAGTAACATTTTAAACATTTTAGTTTAATTTCATCGGACCTTTAATAGCAGGTAAATTTTTGGTATTTAATTGTTTAAAAACTCTCTTTTTGACTTCCTCTAGATGTTCGAGATCATGCAGGAATGCTGGGACAACGATCCTAGTCTTCGGCCAAATTTCAAAGAGCTTGCTCTCCGCGTAGACCTGATCCGGGACAGCAGCGATGCAGACCGATATACCCAAGTGCCTGAGTTTTAAAGAAAGTCTGTCCGCTGTCTTCACATGTCTCTCTGACCCCCAGGACGCAATCGCTGCTTCTTCTGTCAGGACAATGAAGGTCATTTTTTATCAAGAACGTGTTTCTGTTATGCTAGCAGTGCTGGTGCGCAGCCCTCTATCAGCGATGGTATGAATGAAACTGTCTTTTCTTGAGGAATGCAATTGCAAGAGCTGTGCATTTTTACATCCACGTGTTTTGTATGTACATATATATAAAAGATGATTTTATAATTTTATAAAAAGCCGAAATGAGCCGCTGTTTGGCGGCAGTGTCGTGTAAATTAAGATTGAAAAGAATATATGTAATTGTTTGTAAGTTGTTTGTCGCGACGCAAGTGGTGTCTGATTGATAAAGATCTTGCTGTTGTAAGTCGGTTTTCTTTGAATAAAATATGCTGATGCGTTTCAGTCATCATAAAAAAACAAAAAGAAACTATTTTGATGGTAATTTTCTGCATTTATCTCTTTGTTGCGTGTAATGTTCTCCCTTAAGATGAATGTTCACTTTTAAAGAGCACCAATTTTACCACTTTTACAAGGTGTAATGCTGTGTTCACACCAGACGCGGAATGTGCGGAAAAATTGTGCTATTCGCGTGTAAATAGCCGCGTGAACATTTGAGTTTACTCGATTCATTCGCGCATCAAACCCCGCTTCATTCGCGCGTCAAATTCACTTCATTCGCGTGTCAAATTTAATTCAGAACATACGCGGATTCGCGTGATGGGCAGGGCTTCTGTTCCCGGTGACTGTAGCTTCGTTGCTAAATGGCTAACATTTAGATTGGTTAACGCGGCGCGAATGTCCACTGAAGTTCAGATTTTCGAATTCGAGAGATTTGCGCGAAACGCTCGTTAAGCTCGTTAAGCGCGTCAAACGCGCAAAACGCTCAATTTGCCTCGCGCTATTCGCACCGCGCCATTCGCATCATTCCAGCTGCGCCATTCGCACGTATCGCACCGCAGGCTGTCTATTCGCGCGTTTGCATTGACTTGACATGTAAATCACGCGCGTGCCGCGTCTGGTGTGAACGCAGCATAATACTTTTTTGTTTTCAGAATGTGTCTGTAACGCCCCATTCACACGGGGCTTCAGCGTCAAAGCTTGACTGAAGGCGTGTCTGAAGTTGGGGCTGACGCGATCGTCATAGCAGTGTCAGCCAATGAAATTCAGTCAGCAATAGGCCACTGTCTAGCTGGTGTATTTGCATACAGCGATCTGATTGGCTGACGCTTCCATCCCAAGTTCTGCAGCGAGCAATGCCTCTAAAGCGGCACCAACGGATCCACAATGCAGTTTGGCAACGCTTGACGTCACGCTTTCAAAGTGAATGGGAAACATTGACACTTTAATACTATTCTACCATAGATATATACATTAGATGTCACCTACCCTGTTGTTGTCTATTGGAAGGAATGCATCAATAGAGCCGCCATTTTGCTACAGGGTAGCGCTCCTTTGAAATGAATGCGGGACCAATGTACAGTGGAGGACTGTGGCCATCCAAAGCCAGAAATATACACATATATCTATGATCGGGAGTTTTCCTGGATGTTAGTATGCCATTTTTTAATTACGAAATTTATAATTTTACATCACTTTTCTGCATGGATGGATACTGTACGTGATCGCACGGGCATTCCTGACAAAAAGCTTGTGTTTGTGTGTACAGAAATGTACTATTCACCCTCCCTGTTAAATTTGATCTAATCATGTCCTGAAGCACAGCTCCTCTCCTGCTTTCACTTCTCATACTGACGGAGGGAGCGATTCGTTTGTGAATGAATCTCCGTTATGAACGACTCCTTCACTAGCTGACAACAATACAAGTTTCTGGCAGCGCAGCATCTCGTTGTCATATTTCTTTTGCATTGTTTGCTGATTTTATTCAACAAAACTAGCATAAGCCGAGTGTTTAGTGTGAGTTGGTGCTACTTTCCCTTATGGCGAATCATAAGAGACTATCATCATCTATAACGTTGCCTGTTAAGCACAAAGGTTCATAACATACAAAAACGTGAAAAACTAAACTTTACCTATGAAATGTTCTGCCTTTGTGCTTTGTTTTCTTTGTTTTCTTTGTTTGCTCATTACTACTACCGTAGACAGCGCTAAAGTCGCATCTTCACGTAATATCACTGTCTTGACTAGTGCAGTTGAATGACATTTGTCCTGGGAGCACTGTACCAATGTGGTGGCGCTATTGACGCATGCTCAGGGTCCCTATGCGATATCTAGTGTATATATCTATGCTATTCTACAGTTGTGCCCCCAGTTAACTCAAGTGTGGTCAATTAGCCAATCAGAAACTTCCAAAATCTTGACACCATCATCTGAGCTTCTTCAGAGGCATAATAATCTTACTGTATGTAATCTTGACTTTCAAGAAAAGTTCAAAAATCTCTCGTTATTGTGCTATTAAGCATAACAGAAACAAATTTGATAATCCAAACTTACCTAAAAGAGAAAAAGTTTAGTCACATTAACATCTGACTTTCTTTTTAAATGGTTATGCGCCTTTTTATACAGTGTATGTAAACTTTTGGTTTCAACTGTATAGCATATACACTCTAGTAGGGTTCAAAAACACTAGTATTTAAATAATTCATATTTTGACACGTGAGCTGAGCTCTCTGAAATGGTAAGCACAGGATTGTTGGATATCGAAAGCAGCTAATGCAACATCTCTGCTGCCTTCAAAATTTACCATAATGAATTGTGGGTGACTGAAAGAAAATATAGTACACCTGATACATTCTTCAAACCGGGCTGAATGAGTGATTGAAAATGAAGACTGTCAGGGACCCTTCAGATCAGGGATGTCTAAACTCGGTCCTAAAGGGTCAGTGACCTGCATATTTTAGTTCCAACCCCAATGAAAAACACGTCAACCAGCTAGTCAAGCTTTTTCTAGGTATACTAAAAACGTCCAGGTAGATGTGTTGAAGGAAGTTGGATCTAAACTGTGCAAGGACACCAAAACTGTCCAAAACCGAGTTGGACACCCCTGCCTCAGACTGAGGCAGTAGTTCCCTAAATCTTTCCTGCTTGAGCTTTAATTCACGGTTTACTGGCAGAACACGAATTATTTTGTCGTCACGGCGCCATCATGTGGTGTGATTGATGTACGCACTTAAGTCAGGACATTTAAACTTGGATATTAAACACTCTCTCGGGCACAATCACATATAAACGATGGTTTCTGTGTAGGTTAATATAAGTACGCTTTAAATCTACATAGTATGTCATACAGAAGTATTTTTGAGTATGGGATAAATAGCCTACTTGGCTCACAACTTTCCTTCCTTAAAAAGTGGTATGAGGAACGAGGAAGACCACGTGTGGTGAACTGTGCGTCAATCAAATACATAAATAGGGATTTGATGATTTTCCTTTTTAAAACGTATCTAGTTACATACCAAGACAAACGAAAATAAAAAAGGTGCTATATTCTGTAATATATGGCTAACTTTACTTTCATTCTGACCGCTGTGGTAGCCTAATTAAAGGAACTAAATTCACAATGATATTACTCCGGGTGAACTTAACTTTTACTGTACACCACACTGCTTTAATGCCAACCGCAGACATCTTTGGCTAAAAGGGAGCTGAATGGAGTGAGGAACTAGTTAAAAATGCTTGACTCTGCAGTGTTCATGTTATATCAGGTAAGCTCACGCTATGCTGAATCATAGACATTACTCATTTTTGATTGCAGCAATGATTTCCACAAAAACAGTTAAACAGGCCATTTCATCTTATCCAATATCCATTGGTAGGGTGCTTTCACTATTGCACCTGTCAGACGAACGCCGCTCACTTTAACGTTAATTTTGCCGAATCACTGTGCTTATCACTGGGTGACAAGCGGTTATAATATGCTGAAAGCATTATGTAAATAACATGTGTATATATATATATATATATATATATATATATATATATATATATATATATAGATAGATAGATAGATAGATAGATAGATAGATAGATAGATAGATAGATATATAGATATATAATATGTAATCAATATAACTTATTTCTAAAACAACAACAAACTCTGTACCCCATCGGATCTCATTCCCTTACTGTAAATGCCAATGCTCGCTGTACGCATAAGGTAAGAGATGACAGCTGTTTGCTATCTGGGGCTGCTTAGTGATCATAAATGTATTGTTTTCACTTCTGCACCATGGAAACACTGTGACTCGTTCGGCAACTGTTCGATATGTGAATATAATTCAGTAAAAAGAATGCTAGAAGCGTATGAGCACCGGCAAGAGCTCTCATTTGAGCTATAACTTGTACATGTGTCATATGAAAAATATGAAAATGAACCAATGTTCAATACCCAGCTCGGGTATGCAAAATACTGTGTATTAAAGTGTAAATCATTTTTTCTACAGTAGAATAAAAACCAAAGTGATGCAAATGTGCATAAAATATAGATTCTACACTTTCAGACGAAACCACTTACGGGGGTCTGGTGCAATGCTAGCCCTTTAAATCTTAAAGTGAAAGTCGATGACGGTACCGGGTTTGCGGAGTTTAACCGCTTAGGAGATTGAGAATTTTATATGTTGTGTTGAAAGGACACCCGGAGCTGTGGAATGGTGACAATGCGGGTGTCAAACATAGACTTGACATTATCCTCTTACCACTGGCTGCTACTGGTTTCCATCACACTAACTTGCCCTCCAAACTGGAAGCTTCTGAAATTATTCTGACCTAGGTACAGAGCTTTACTTTATGACAATTAAAGCGGTCCCACTTTATATTAAGTGTCCTTAACTACTATGTACTTACATTAAAAAATAAATACAATGTACTTACTGTGTTCATAATGTATTTGAGAACACTTGTGGTGCTTTTGAGTTGGGATAGAGGTTGGGTTATGTACAGGTTTGGTGGCATGGGTAGGTTTAAGGGTGGGTTACGGTGTAAGGGGTGGTCAACAGTGGATTTACAAATGTAACTATAAAAGTTAATTACAGATGTTATTACATACATGTATTTAATCAAGCATAAGTACACAGTAAATACATGTATTTACACAATGAGTACATTGTAACAAACTATTAGTTCCTGTGTACGTACATATTAGTTAAGGCCACTTAATATAAAGTGGGACCACATAATGTTTAGTGGAAACATTGTTTCTTATTTTGAGTAGCTTAAGAACAGGTACACATAAATCAGGTGATTCATTATTATGTATTTCGATTCACTTTGCTTGTAAAATCTTGCGCTGTGTTGTTGTGCTGCTGTGTTTACATCTGCGCATTCAGATTGTGAGCCTGAATTAAAACCAGCTCAGTTTGCTGATTTCACATTTTGTACGTAATATTACTTATTACATCGTGTTGTTAATTCCATCCCATATTAATATATTATCTTCCACAATGTTGAGTTTTGCATTTAGC